TATATATTTTTTATTTACTATTATTAATTCTATTTATAGATAATATATTCAGAATAAAAGACTATAAAGCATATATAGACATGATTTAAAATATAAATTAATATAATTTTTGTGATTTTTAGATGATAACGATGAAATTAAGGCGACCATATACTACAGCATCTATCTGGTCATCTGGTAAAGTAACTTGCACTGGTGCAACTAGTGAAGTTCAAGCAAAAATCGCAGCACGTAGATTTGCCCGTTCCCTTCAAAAACTTGGATTCAAAGTGAGATTCAATAATTATAGGGTGGTCAATGTATTAGGCACTTGTAGTATGCCATTTGCTATCAAAATAACATCATTTTCAGTGCATCACAAAGAAAATGCTGAGTAAGTATAAAAGAATGTACATTTAATAATTATAGCATACTATAAATATATCTTTTCAGTTTATTTACAAAATTATTTTGTTAGCATACTAGTATTTAAAGTATTTTTCTCGATGTAAAGAATCCAACATTTTCTGATTATTATCAATGTGTTAGTTAATAATTATATACAAATATATAAACATATGATAGTTATATAAATATTTTTATGTGATTTATAGTTATGAGCCAGAGTTACACCCTGGTGTCACATATAAGCTAAAAGAACCAAAAGCTACTCTGAAGATATTTTCTACAGGAAGTGTTACTGTAACAGGTTGGTATATTATAATTATACATTTTGTTATTATAGAGAAATTTATAGTCACTTTTGATACATTATTTTACTAAGATTTTTAATCTCTGTATGTTCTTGAGAGACCACGTAAAGTTATATCAGGAATTTTATGAAATTATTTTATCAAAATATATTAATATTTTTTTGTGCGCGAATAAATAAGTATTTTTACATTATTACATAAATATTCTGGTTTTGATTATATAATACAGCATTGCTTAAAAATTTTAATTGAATAAAATAGAAACATTGAATATATATCATCAGAAGTTAAACATTAAAAATTTTTGTGTTTCATAAATATCAAAATATATTTTTATGTTTGTGTTTCATGAATCGTTGTAAATTAATTGACATAAAAGTATATAATTATACAATAATTGTTTATTGTGTTATAGCACCTAATGTTGCTGCAGTCCAAGCGGCAATTGAACATATTTATCCACTAGTCTACGAGTTCCGCAAGGAGCGAACGCCAGAGGATGAGCTTGCGTTCACAACGAAGAAACGCAAATTAGGCTTGAACAAAAGAAAACGGGATGAGTTCCTAGAAGATGAGCCAGATTTGTCGTATGAAAGTATGATCTCTGATGCAGAAGATACACTTAACGAAGTAGAAACTGACGGCAGTTGGGACTGATTTGTTTTATTTTATCGCTCTACTGTTAAATGTGAAACTGTTGTCTATATCTCGTTCTTTCGATATGATTCTGCTCTATGTACAAAAGTGTTATTGCTAAAAGTGAAGTGAAGCGTACATTCGTTTCCATATAGTGCATGAACAAATGTGTGAGTGTTAGAAATAAAAATAGAAATACATATATGCACTTATGTATGCAATATACACAGGGGCATAATTATCAAGTACATCAAATGAACTGATTATCATCCTAGATAGTTACTTTTGTTAGCAATATCACATTATAAATACAAATATAGATATATACGTAATATGGAATTCACTACGTGTAATACAAATGTAAATATGAATACATATATGTATATATTTGTATTTATATACTTCTAAATATATAATTCTTCGCACGTAGATGTATCTTCTACATCTGCACGTATGTATATGCACATATATGAATATATGTGTGTATGTATGTATAAATATGCGTAGAAAACGTTTTTAATTATAGAACTGATTAATTTTTTGGAGTTTATTTATCAATAGGCGAAACTTATATATTTGCTTCTTTGGACAAATGATTAGTACAGGTTTAAAAAGAATTGCACATTGTCCACGTACATGCATATTGTGAATTATGGCCTGTACATTTACGTTTTCATTTATTTTATTTTCATGTTTAATGGTAACTAGTTTTGCTTAATTAAAATATTGTGCCAAAGATAGATATTCAAAATTTAAAACAAAATGATCAAGATGAAATATGACTTTATCCATTGTAATAATTAGCTTCCACAGTGCTTGTAATCGATTGAAATGTAATCGAAATATTTTAATTTCTTAATTAATATTTTATAGAAAGTATTTCACGAAGATGAAAATCATTTTATTGTACAATTTGGATTCCATATTCTAAAAAATGCATACCAATTAATATAATTCCGTACTATCAACAGCTCGTTCTCGCTCAAATAACTTCTATTTACTCAAAAGAATTTATGTATCCTAGTTTACTACTTTATTCCTACATTTAATATCTCTTGGAGTCTTTTTCTATAAGTGTATAAATATTATTTTATATGTTTATTCACAAAATTTTCTATACAAGATGTAATAGGAATCATTTAAATATTATTAGCACATATTAATATATTAATAATATAATTTGTTAAAACATTTTTAACTATAAAATCTATATAAAATTATAATTATAGCATAAAAGTACGATGAGTAAGAAAATTAAATCTTTATACATTCATTTTTATATTATTAATTAAGAATTTATATGATTAAGAAATCCTTTCATTTCAATATTTTTTTTATATGAGACACATAAGATTAATTTGCATTATTTGAACGAATACGGGCTGTTTTTATAATAAAACGTTTACAAACGTTAAATTTGGTTTTAAAGTGTCTATTACATAAAAAGATGTAGTCTGGTTTGCAGTATTCATGAATTCAGACTCATGTATTACAAGTGTTTATTTGATTTACGTAAATATAATAAGAAATTGAAGTTGGAATCGTGACATTAATTTAGAACTGTGACAAACTATTCTTTGTAGAAATTATAGAAATTCATTGCGTCGATGTTTCGTGAAAAGTACTTTTAAAAATCGCAAGTTAAACGTATGAAACGAATGTATTGTGTTCAATGAGATATTTATTTTCGACTTATATATACATATAACTGACTGAAATTGCATATTCTAGAATCTGCAACAAAGACATAAATAATGCGATAGAACACGTTAGTTTTTTTTTGTATTAGTCATCTACATATACATTAATACACACACATTAAAAGTATTTATTTATCACTTATAGTATCCTTATGATATTAAGCGCATTCGAATCATGTCATTTTCATAAATACTAATTTTCTGAAAATCTAAAGTATATTTATCTGAACAGCCTACATTAATGTTTATTTTGTCCATTCATAAAATATTTTCACAAAAAGAAATATTTTTACACACAATTTTACAAAGCTAATTAATTGTATTTTTAGAATTCAGTTTTTATTGTAAAGATGTATATCGGATATTGTGCAAAACATTACATTGAAGGTATAATATAAAATGCGTTGTCTTTCTTATATTTCGCGTTTATTTACAGATACAAAATTTAATCTTTAGTTTGCAATTAGCTGAAGAAAAGCAATATATTGGTACATGAAAAATTATCATGATATAGAAAAATTATTAAAGATTTGCGTAATACATTGATAGGAAAAATTATTAGAAAAATTAATATGTGAATATCGTATAAATATCTTATCACACATTAAGTACAAGATAATACGATAAGGTATGGCCGATATTTTATTAAATAATTAATCTGTTCGTGCCATATATGACATTATATATTCGTTAAAATTAGTTAAAGTAGAATTTCATAATTTTCATAATGTATATATTCTTTTTACACTGAACAAATTTTTTACGATTTAAGCTAAAGTCACTGCCCTTAGTGTATTCAATCAGAAAATATAAGACTAAATCCACTAATGAGTATGTGACACAAGCTAGCACATTTTGTTTACATTATTGGAAATAAATGCTATTCTTTGCGTTAATTAATCATAGGAGTTAAAGTTTAAGCAAATAAAGAAGTTGAATGATGAGACATTATCGAAATGTAATGACAAAAATAAATTCTATCATATATTTAATTTCCTTGATTACTCTGTAGAAACGTTTCCTTTTGTTGCATTTAACTTCTTTATATTAATATCTAATAAAATATAGCATATCGGCGTATGTGGCCTTATCTATATATAATATTTATGAATTTGAAAAAGAGGAAAGTAAAATTTTCCATGAATCTTAATTTTTAGAAATTAAAATTTTTTGTGATATATATAAAAAATGCTTTGGTTTTTTAAAAATTATATCTTATTTTTTTTATTTATATATTAATCAATATTTTTGGATACTTTATATAATATGCCATTAATATAATCTTATTTACTCAATGCTTTTTTTATAGAAATTTTTTGTACAATCACGATTACACATTATCTTTTTATTTTACACTGAACTTTGTTAAATGTTTTAACACAGTTGGATTGCTAAATGCCTCCTCTCTATGCTGAATGGAACTAGACGAGCAATAGAAAGTAAGATCTCTATTGTCATCAATAATTCGGACTTCTCTAATCAATATCGTTTTTTTTTTCAATATCGTATATTGGAAAAAACGATCGCATGTCATACGATTGAATAGTTATACACAATGAAAAAAATACATATTTAATTTATTAAACTTTTGTGAAGTACTTGATGCAATATTAAAGAGAATCAGAAAAGTAGTTTTCAACATTCTTAATAAAAATATAGTGCATTTTCAAACAAAAAAGTAACTACAAAAGTTTAAATTACATATTACAACTATTAAATATAACATACTATATTATATATGAATATAATATTAATAAAAGTACATTTGTAAATATATTTTTTAAATATAAACGTTCAATTAAATATTAGATGAATACAATATTATATTTACAACTATTTTTAAAAAATATTTCATAAATAGTTTCTATTAAAAAATGTTAAAAACTTTCTTTATTCAAAATATATGTACAATAATACACATTTTTTTGCAACAATATATATATAACAATAATAGATTTATAACTATGTTCTAGCAAGCAGTATTATTAGTTTGTAGTTGACAATAGATTTGATCGATATTGTGCAACGAATAATCTTTATGTAAAAGATTTCCATTTTTATAGATAGAATTTTCAGCATAATTCTTCTTTTATTGTTCGATTTCTTTCCGAGTATCATCATTTATTATTATTTAATTCATTTTGAACTCATTTATTTCGTATAAAAATCTTGTATTACGGATAACTACATAACCATGATTAAATAGATAATTATACAAAAACTAATTTTACTCACACAGTTAAAAAACGATTTCTTATCGAAGCAAATTTTCAGCGCTTAATATTTTGGTGTGAATTTGTACAATTTTCAGTTTATTCAATAGATATAAATATACATTAAGAAATATATATAAAAAATATGTATTTTTTTTAATTTGAAACAGTCATTCATTAAATGCAGCGAGAAATTCATTTACTATCGGGAAATAATAAAAAGCCATAGTCTTAGCATCCTAGAAAATTAATAAGAATGACATTAAGAGAACGAGTGTATGCATGAGAAAGTTTAATCAAATTTTGTTTTAAAAAATTTAATAATATGCAGAGATGGGAAATTATTTAATAATGTCGTTGTTGATTGTTATAATAACGATTTGGTAATGACATAACAAATTTTTTATTACGGTAACACCAGAGTTGGAAAAATTAATCATTATCAACGGGTTGAAAAAATCATTCGAAATTAAAAAAAAAAAATTCTTAATTCATTCTTCTTAATTCTTTGTAACGCGTTACTTTTTACTCATTAATTGTAATGAATAACGTTATGTGTTATTCATTTCTTATTTTTCAATAGGTAATGCATAATGACAAATTATCTCAAAATGACTTTTTCAATTTTTACTTAAGATTTAGTTAGCATTACTGTCATAAAAAATTGCAACATCATTGCCAAATTATTTATTATAAAAAGTAACGGAAAAGTAACATTTCCCAACCTTGAAATATGTATAATACAATTTCTAAAATTAATCAAATTTCCTTCATTCTTTTTATTAAATTATTTCTTTTAAAAAAATTGAAGTCATAATTTAAAACTTTCTTTAATATATTAATTTATATTACTTTACAATAAATTATAAGTTATTACCTGTTTAAATGAATTTGAAGTTAAAAATTTGTAATAGATATTTTAATATTTACCTCTTTTGTATTTATTTTTAAGCCTCTTTTACTTAATGTGCATCTGTAGGCTAATATAGCATAATGATTGCTAATATTCAATAAAGTCTCCAGATCACAATCTCTTAAATCGCTGCGTACTTTTTTTGAAAAATTTTTCAAAAGGTTACCATTCTCACTAAAAGGCTGTTTAAATAATTCTTTTAATGCCGCTTATTTGTATATAATAAGTTTATATATAATAAGTTTAGCATTTTCATCTCTTGTTCATACATACCTCATCACACCATAATGCTTTATAAATATCATTTGCATAAATAGATATAATACGAATTTTTTCTTCGTATATATCTGATGGCATAATCTGGCGTAAATGTGGACTCATTTCGCGATATCTGTAATAATTCCAGTATCAATAATATAGAATGAAATTAATTTAAAAAGCAATGAATTATTAAACAAAATTAATACCTCAATAGCAATCTACAAATTCTCGACAAGATAGCACAACTCTTCGTAATAAATGCTCCATAGATGACTGCTGGTGGCGGCAATGTCCAAGATAATACATGACTACGGCTTTCTAATGTACAGATCTTTAAAACAAACACAAATAAATACTTAAAAATTAACTAGTTAAACATTCTAATTACATTATTTACAATTTTTCTATATACCTCTTCATAAAATGCTAAACATTCTGATAACAATATGACATTGTAATTGTGTATGTTCAATCCACAAACAATAAGATTTTCTAATATTGTTGTAATCACAGGTACGATCTCTGCTAAATCCTCTAATCGACCTTGTTGCAAAAAGGATGATGCATATTGATCCTGTTCTTCAAGTTCTTGTCTTACGAACTGTAATGAATTGTAATGTAACAATTATACATATATGTAAAGAAAATAAACTGTTAACGTAAATGCAATTTGTATTTTGCAAAAAAATTAGTCTTGCGTACTCCTGTCACAATCAATATTTACATATAATCTCTATATGTTTAATATTATTATAATAATATTAAACGAACACATAGAAATTATATATGGAAAATTAACTAAAAAGGATATGTTACAAATTGAGAAAATATATTCAATCCTTACAAAGTTCGTAATTAGTTTCTGTACAGATCTAATTATTTCACATTTCATATTTAAACTTGATTCATAAAATATATTCTGTACATGTATTAGAATGTTTTCTCGTAACTCTGAAAATATGAATGTAACATTTTAATTTGATATTTTAACATTTTATAAGACCAGATAGAACAGCTTCATAGTTACCAGTTACTGATATAGAAGTCATCCATTGCAACAAATCTAGTAACCTTGACAAATGCTCTCCTGAATTGTAATATAAATATTCATCAAAGAACAATTTAACTATAAGTATTCCTTCCTGCATGTATCGAGAAAATTCGATTGTCATAGTTAAAAATTTATCCATTTCTTCTTTGGAAAACTTTCCATTTTCCAGTATAAATGCTAAAACATTAATATACTGGTTTTAAAATATATAAAGCTTAGTAAAAAGTTATATTAATAATTTATATTAATAATTTATATTAAATAGTTTTTTGTAGCAAGAAAATAATCAATAGACATATATACCTCTCGTAAGTGTATTGTAAAGATTGTACGAAAATCTACTTTGATACTGAAAGTCCGCGTATGTAAGAAGATGATAACCAATCATATTTGCCAAAAGCGAAACAGCATTGCAAGGCAATTCAACATTCTGATGATACTTTCCTAACTCTTCTATGCTGATACACACAGACACACACACACACACACATATATATATATATATAATATTGTATATCAACATTGTAATCATTAATATCATAAGTGACAAAATATATATTAGTTCAGATGTATTACTCACCTATTTATATCAAAAATTGATTTTGCATCTTTATCTTTAAAAATACTTGAACCCATATGAAAATAACCAACAGATGGTAGAAGCGCCTTTGTTCTTTTTTTAACTTTTAAATCCTATACGAATAACAATTTCTATAATTTATTTTAAATTCATATTATATATATCATATTTAATACACTCATACATTTTTTATACCTGCATTACATTCCACTTAAAAAAAGGTTGAATGCTTTGACAAGACTGTTGAATTTCCGCACGATCTCTGGCATCTTCCAATGCTAATCGTATAACTTCAGGAATAGGTTTCCATACACTTTCTATATTCACTGATTCTATTTTCTCAGGTACTAATTCTGGTTTATATGATTTAAATAAGCTATAAACACTTTCAATAAGTATTTTTATTAATAAAGCAAATATTATATACGATTATACTTACGAAAGTAATGCAATAATATGTGTTGGAGGTTTAGAGTAACTTTTCTGAAGTGTTAATAATCTTGTGACATCTCTGCGTGAAACATCTTCAGGTTTTGTCAGCACGTAAATAAGACGTGCTATATAACGTGCCTGAAATTTACATTTGTATACAATACAGAATATTTTACTATTAGATTAATTTAAAGCTTAATTTAAGCAAAATATATTTCAACCATTAGACTTTAATAAAGATATATATTAAAATATCAAGATAAAATTCTTTGTCATAATTATATTGAAGCTTTCTTAATACCAAAGAAATATATAGACATATTTTTACATTCTCTTTTTAAGAAGTAAATATAAAATTAAATATATATATAGGTTATAATAAATAAAGTACATTAAATATTTTTACAGTAAATGCAAACAGATCTTAGATTAAGAATTAAGTTACCTATGATCCATTGTATAACAATTACACCAACAGTAAATGGCAAATCATTTAATGAAGAAAAACACCAAGTGATCATAGTTTTCACTATTTCCTCAGATAGTTTATATTTTGGAATCAGACATTTTATCAACGACACCCGTTTAATTGCACCTGATAAATATAAATTTAAAACTTAGTTTATTCGAACATATACATATAGATTATAGACTTTCAAATTTATGAAATATTTATGTTAATATTTATTAACAAGATACTGACCTAAATCTGTATGTATAATAACATTTAAGAGCTGCTTGAAAATATCGTCATCTAATCCCCTTGAGGCAGCTTCATCTTGTAATGTGGTAAGACCTATGTCAAACTGTACTAAGTTTGTGCCTTTTGCTAAAAGAAATAAAAGGAGTAATTTCAACTTTCGGACCATTAACTATTAATTTAAATATAACTATTAATTTTAAACTTTGTACATATATATTATATAAGACAACATATATATCATATTAGAAAATATAGACATTAAATATACTGATTAAATTAAATAATAATACATAGATATTCCTGTAAGTTTAGATCTACTAAGGATTTTACCATCTCCGATCATCTTGATCAGTCGAATAAGTATCAATTATGATTTATAATTTCTATTTAATGATAGACGTTATTGATCAGTTCCAATAAAAAGGTAAACTGCTAACTAAAATTACACCAATATTTACTAATGCCCAAGTAATACTCAATTTTTTAAATCCATTGCCCTAGTAATACTCTATAATGTCCAATAATGCATATAACTTCATATTAATCATTATAATATACAATTTTTTAAAAATAATGTCTAGTAATACTCCAAATCATCATCAGAGATAGTAAAACTGGCCGTTGTTACAAAATATGATCATTTTGTTGCATAAAATCATTATGTCAAATTATTCGTTTTATTTTTTGCAATTGATATCAGAATGTTCATGAATCAGCATTATTAAAATTTTTTTAATACTCATTCTGATTGATGTTTGAGTGATAATTTTAATATTAGCTTTTAGCTAATATTAAAAAAATTATGGTCAAAACATTCTTAAAAGCTATATAAAAATATGTAAAACATGCTTCATTTATAGAAAGCAAAGTATTAAGCCTATTCTACAATGTGCTCTTTATTTCCTGTTTCTTGTTTTTTACCTTTTGCTTTTTTCTCCTTTGCAACCGTTTTATCAACAATTGTATTTTTTGCTACATATTTCTTGTTTCTTTCGAAGTTCGTTAATTTTTATTTCGGGTGTATATAAAACAAAAAATCGGATAAGAAGCAAAAAGACAAGATATAAAAAAATAACAAAAGGCAAGAAACAGGAAACAAAAAGCACATTGTAAAACAGGTTTTATAGTATACGCAACATATGTAGATTAGAAGTTACTATTCTGTGTATGCTACTGTATGCTAAATTATAAATGTATATGCTACTGTATGTTAAATTATAAATCACAATTGATACTTAGTTGCCGGTGTCATGCAACTTCTTTACCATATAAAATATCTCGTATTTGATGAGAATCGAGAACGATTTACTAAAGAGCAGCTTACTTAACGATCCTTGAGATAAGATGGTTCATTTATTCAAAAAATTCAGTAGAGAATGCAAAGTTGTGCCGTCACTCGCGAGTACAGTCACAAATTTGGCGCGCAAAACACACAACGACACCGGCAATTATTGAGATTTGTTTCGCGCCGCATACTCCAACATGCTCCTACCATAACTCCTACTCACTCTAATGAGCATGTTGAATTAAGTAAGAATCATGACAGGAACACGTTAGATGCAGTTAAGAGCATGCAACACGAACGAAACTTCGAGTGTGTACAGAATAGTACCCAGTCATGGATTTGTAACTTACACTTAAGAGCCTTTATGTATTTCAAGCATGTTGCCCTTGTCTCGTTTTCTACCATTCTGCTAAAATTGCTAACGAATATCACACAAAATTGTATCAAATCATTTGGATTATGACTGGTGCTAAAAAATATTGACAGAAAACTATACGCGATTTCTCCTAACCCCATCTATCCCATCGTCCAAATTCAAACTGTTCAAACTTCAAACGTTTACGTCAACGCTGTATTCAACAGAATGTTTATTTGGCAGGGTTGCCAGATATTGGGTCATCTAAAAAGTATCCGCGGTACTTTGTCACTAGATATATGACCATCAACACACATCTAGTGACAAAAAACCGCGGATACTTTTTAGATGACCCAATATTTTTCGTCAGAACTGTCAGAAGTAGCCGAATGATGGCGCTCGAGTAGCCCAAAGTATAAAGTCACTAGGATTGTGGTCAAATGAAAAACGTTATTACTATACGTTATGTACTATACGCTTGACGCTTGCATGTGAATGCACCTTTATGTACTATTTATATGTGCACAATTTATGCGGGTGTGTCGGTCGTTGTCGTCGTTGTCTGTTACGCGTTGTGCTAGTTGTGAGAGATAAAGAATTGTGCGAGACGCGAGATAGCAGGCTTGCGACAATATGGTGAATCTTTACGCTATGTCTCAAATTAATAATAAGGAATGTGACTCGAAAGTAATCCTTGATTATTACCGTCTTTTTTTTTGCAGATGCAATTTATGTTACTGTTTAGTCGACAAGGGAAGCTTCGTCTACAAAAGTGGTATGTCGCGCATCCAGATAAGTTGAAAAAGAAAATCACGCGCGAACTGATCACCACGATACTCGCACGAAAACCGAAAATGTCGAGTTTCTTAGAATGGAAGGATGTTAAGGTTGTTTACAAAAGGTATATGGTTCATCAACGATTTGTGTATACTAAGCTAAAGAGTACTTTTACCAATGTGATTAATTTAATCTTGAATTAATTTCTCTATTTTTTTTTTAAGTTGATTCTGTAATGGATTGGTAGTTCTATAGATGTCTTCCGAATTTTAGGCATGAAGGGCATGATGTATCGTTTTATCTTTCTTTATTTTATCTTTAGTTGTTGAACAACAAGAATAAATAGTGCATCATACATAATTCGGAATGTACCCTGAGTCTTATCGGTGAATTAGTGAAGTTGTCCAATGGCTAATTTCATCGATAAGATTTATTGATAAGATTTAGTATCGACTATATTTACTATCGACTCCTTGTAGAATCAGCATACTTCTTAGAATTAGAAGAAGATAAAAAATAAGTTAAACCAAGATTAAAGTTAATCTGCATTAATAGAATGAAGCCTGGTTCCACCAATATAATATTAATTTGGTTCAATTTATTCTTTTTTTAAATAAAAAAATTAGAACTAGATAAACAGTAAGTTAAATTGAAATTAAAGTTAATCTTAACATTGGTGAAACCGAGCTTTAAAGTGATTTCGACCAAATTTTGATTAATTTGTAGAGTTATAATATTTTTACTAATTTTTTATTAACATAAGTAGAATTATAATAAATTGTTGTCTAATATATGGAAATGAATATTAGGTTAGGAATAAAGAATTATAAGCTGTAAATTTTACTTGTGTAGCAATTTCATTTGCTTGAATAAAATAATAATTTATCTGAATAATTAATAATCAACATAAATAGAATTATTAATTTGTTACTTAGCATATATAGGAAAAAAAATTAAATTAGGAATTCATTAGATTATCAACTCATTAGAACGAAGAGTTGATTAGAAATTTTTAATTTTTATTATTGCCAAATTAATCATCAAAAGATTTCATCAAAGTTATCCTTAATCTATGATATTTCATGATTTGTTTTTTTATTGTAAAAAAGTTTCTGATTTATACTTACAGATATGCAAGTTTATACTTTTGCTGTGCAATTGAGCAGAATGACAATGAATTACTGACATTGGAGATTATACATCGATATGTTGAATTATTGGATAAGTATTTTGGTAGTGTGAGTATTATATTATTGAAATCATATATTTAAAATATATTTCTGTTAAGCCTTGTAATTTGTTGTAATATTACATATTATAATTTATTATTTATAATCTATTATTAGGTATGCGAGTTGGATATAATTTTCAATTTCGAAAAGGCATACTTTATCTTAGACGAATTGCTTGTTGGTGGAGAAATTCAAGAAACTAGCAAAAAAAATGTATTGAAAGCCATTGCTGCCCAGGACCTATTACAGGAGGTTAGTTACGGGGATGTACCCCTTGAATTGTAACATGTCTTAATTTATTAATAGCACATAAAGGTTATATACATACTGTTTCTTTTTACAATCATTTTTTTTTGGCTGTAAAAGAAATATTTTTAGATCGTTTTATCTTTCTACTAACTGTTTACACTTAATGCATACTTAAGGAGCCATATATTTAGCAAAATTATACCCACAAATAGAAAGTACAAATGAAAGTTATATTTGCATATATGCATAATTAATTTAATATGTTAAAACGATCTATACTCTTCTTTCTTGCCAGTCATGTGTTGTTTTGATCATGAAATTGCAGAAGTCAAGCATGTATAAAATCTATTTAAACTAGGTGAAATTACAATCAAATTGCTTTTATCTTGATTTTCCCGGTTTAATTCTTTTTGCAACATAGGTTTACTATTTCTTTTTTATATAAATATACATGTGAAAAATGTAATATTGAAGCAAATCTTTTTACGTACAATCGGTCTTGACAATTGTCTATTTTTAAAATATTTAACACCTAATAATAATAGATTTATACAGATGCATAAACGAATCCATACAAAATATTATACATGCATGAAGACATTTGAAGATATTAACATTAATTGCCTCTTTATATGAAACAATTCGAATTTCCTAGCTTTAATATTGCCTGTCTTCTTGCATAATCATAATAATACACATGCTACATATCTTTAGAGACAGATGAGCTTCCTTCTTTGTTGACAATTCTATGTTGTTGTAATATTTGATGTTGCACGATGTGATTGAACGATATTTAGCTTTTGCATTTACGTTGATATTTTATATATATACGTATGAGAAGTCTTATTGCTTGTATGATCATTATGATGTATAGTCACAATTGAGCACTACGTTTACAAGTTATTTTACACGTGCTGTCTTATATAATGTATAAAATTGGATAATTTTTAATATTTCATAATATTGTGTTTGTATATTATAAATGTTACTTTAGACTGGGAGATATTTTCAAAATTAATAACTCATATCAAGTCTTAGATCTCTCTTTGTTGTAAATACCTCTATTATAAATATAGCTTTTCTATATATTCCCACTGTCCTATTTTTTTAAAGCATGACCAACATATCATCTGCATTGTAGTGTCATATAGTGATGATAGAAAATTATAAGATAATAAATTTAAATGTTAAATATTGAATGTTGTTATAGACAATCCAGACAATTCTACGTGCGTAAATGCTTATATATACTTCTCGTTTATCTATAAATGAGCTTGTATACTACTTTATTGTAAATATTTTAATTATTGACAACATTAAGTATATATGCAACAGCATTTAGTGAATACTACTTAATAACTATTATTGCGTATTTATATGACAGAAAGATATTTTTTGAAGTTTGTATTATTTCTTATAAATGTATACATAAGAAATGTTGGCCATCTAACTTTTTGATAATTGTAATTTTAATAGCTGTAATTTAAAACAAGAAATAGTACAAAAAAAGTATTTTTAATACCTGCTGAAAGATAAAAGATATTATTGAACTCAAGATTTTACATAAAACAATGCAAAACGTTTGCAGTTGTTTTATTTATTTAAAAGAAATGATGCTAAATTTTTTCAACCTATGTGCTATGACATTATATTCTGTATATATTTTTGTGCTTAAATACTGATGAGTATTTAAAAAAAATATATCGTACATCTTATATGAAGTATAATATTGCAAAATAATTGATGAATCAAAGTTCTATGTTCTAAATTGATAAGAAAATGTATTTCTAAATTGATAAGAAAACGATAATTAAAGCGATAATTTAAATTTTATTTAAAATGTGTGCATTATACGAAATTTCTGAACTATAATACCTACTGAGTGAGAAATTTTCTTTATTTTATTTATTTCATTTATTCTATCCATTTATTCTACCCATTTGAGTAGTTCAATTAATTAAACTGTGTATTAATAACATATATTGTTTTTGTATGTATGCCATTTAAATGATTTAGTAAACATAACATAGGGCAGTATTCACAGTCGGTTCTTATATTTAATGCCGTTTTAAGTGATCTTAAGACGTCACAATCATAGAATAGTATTAATATATTAAGGCTCCTGAATAGTCGTGGCGGCCATGTTGGAATTGTGATGTCAGAAACGAGAAATAACATTAATTTATGCTGCAAGCCATTTGTAAATAAAGATAATTTGGATAAATCTAAATGACGAGATTGTTTTAAAATACCTGTAAAAATGGACAAAAACTGTCCTTTTCTCTCTTAATAGTCAGTAAATGATCGTAAAAGGCAGGTAAAGTGAGCCTAATTTCGGGCAGAAACACACAGTTTGAACAGCTTGAAATGAATGAAATATACGCTTTTACATATCAAATCCAGGATAACTAGTTTCTGCCCATTTTTAGGACTTTCATAAGTATGAGATACGTTACATTTTCACAATTAAATAAATAACGAAATGGCATGCAGCAAAAATTTCGTCGTCAAAACATCACTTTTCACATATATAAGTTCAGCCATTTATCATGGCGAGGCACTGTAACACACACACAAGCACGAGTCTATGTACATGTACTCGCTTTTGGCGCACCGAGAACACATATACATGAGCTCGTGCTTGTGTGTATGTGGCTACCGATTTCGCCAGGTCGCCGACTGATTTTGAATCTCATGCTGACTATTCTTCAGGAGTCTTATAAGACATTATTTAAAATAGTCTTGAAATAAGAACGAACTATAAATATTTGCCAAGTATCATTGTTCATTCTAGTCTATTATTAGCTTTTTTGAATAGAAGATATTAGTTTACGAAAAATAGACATGATAAATATAATATTTTACGTACATAAATTTTTCTAATTTAAAAAAAATATAAAGCATAACTCAAATATACTTAAATAAGTAAATGAAATAAATAAGAAATAAATTAAAGAAAGAATTAATCTTTTTTATTTATAAATTATATTGCTCTACAAATGTATG